TACATTTTACACACCGCGCCGTGGACTCGTTTGAGGCCGAGTCGATCTACGGGAGGACCAGGGCTGGTTCAGAAAATCGCCGTGAGCGGGAATGGAACTCGGGCCACCGGGTTAATACGCACACACAAAGATAGACAAAGACAAAGATTCCCCGTATAGCCTTAACAGACTGTAGGGGCAAGTGCTGTTAGCGAGCACCTATGAAGGCCGAAACGGTACACGAGGGGGTGGGTGGCCAGCACCACGCCCGACCGCCTTTGTCTCCCCAGTGGCGATGTTTACACACCGTACCAGGTACTTATTTAAGGCTGAGTCGACCTAGGGGCGGCCCCGGACCGGTTCAGATAATCCTCACTGGTGTTGGCCGTGAGCGGGAATCGAACCCGGGTCGCCAGGTTCACAGCGCAGCGTGCTAACCGCTACACTACCGCTCCCCATACGCACACACACGTGTGCACATACACCCGAATGAATGATGATGATGATGATGTTCGTGGTGATGTAAATAAATGACTGACGATGAAGATGTTGTTTGACGATGGTGATGATTGTGCGTGTCCACCCAATGCCCATCTTCAGAATCCGAAGAACTATCAAGTTACTTTTCACAGATGTCCCATCTTCGTGGTGACGACGATGATGATGATGAAGATGATGAAGATGATAATGATGATGATGAAGATGATAATGATGAAGATGATGAAGATGATGAAGATATGAGTTACCTTGCTCTGCTCTGCAGCTCTCCTCTCCGGGTCTGAGTGAAGACTTCGTGTGGACTTTGGAATCCACCAATCATCCTCCCGGCTCCTGCTGAACCCCCCCCCCCCCCCCCGCTGTCCCTCCACCTGCCCCTCGACGTCTCACGGCTTTACACCTCCTGGTCCCTCAGCCACTCACACAGAGAGCCACAGACTCACAGAGCCATCGAATCACACAGAGAGCCACAGACTCGACTCGCACGGAGAGCGACTCGACTCGCACGGAGAGCCACAGACTCGCACGGAGAGCCACAGACTCACAGAGCCATCGAATCACACAGAGAGCCACAGACTCGACTCGCACGGAGAGCCACAGACACGCACGGAGAGCCACAGACTCACAGAGCCATCGAATCACACAGAGAGCCACAGACTCAGACAGAGAGCCATCGACTCACACAGAGCCACAGACTCACACGGAGAGCCACAGACTCATTTAGAGAGCCACAGACTCACACAGAGACCCACAAACTCGCACAGAGAACCACAGACACTCACAGAGAGCCACATACTCAGACAGAGAGTCATCGACTCACACAGAGAGCCATCGACTCACACAGACTCACACAGAGAGACACAGACTCACACAGAGAGCCACACACTTACAGAGAGACCCATAATACTAACACACTCGCAGAGCCAGAAACTCACAGAGACCCACTCACACATGGATCCAATTAGACCCACACTCACAAAGATACTTAGAATCACAGAGACCCGCAGACTCGCAGAGACCCACCGACTCACACAAAGATACACTCACACCGAGACCCAAACTCACAGATACGTAGAATCACAGATCTACAGACTCGCACAGAGACTAACACAAACACATACTCGCACATAGACTCACACAGAAACTTACACGGAGACTTACACGGAGACTCACAGACTCACACAGAGACTCACACAGAGACCCAGACTCACACAGAGAACCATATACTCGCACAGACCCACGCAGAGACAGACAGACTTACGCAGAGACCCATAGACTCACGCATAAACTCATGCAGAGACCCATAGACTCACACAGAGACCCATAGACTCACACAGAGACTCGCACAGAGACCCCATAGACTCACACAGAGACTCGCAGAGACCCACAGACTCGCACGCAGCCAACACAAACTACAAAACAACTCACGGCCAAACACATCCGAACGGAGCAGCAGCCCTCATTGTGCCGTGAACGCGTCCCGGGGCGTCTTAGTGAGGCCGCCCCGGGCTCGAAGAGAAGCTCCCAACAGAGACCCGAGTTCGAATCCCAATCACGGCCGCGCCCGACCCAACACCACCAGAGACGAATGCCTTGGAACCGCCCCCCCCCCCCCCTGGGACTCGCCGAGGTCGACTCAGCCTCAAAACGCATTTTTACCTGGAGCGGTGTCTCTACATCAACACGGGGAAAGGGAGGGGGGAGACAAAGGCGGCCGGGCGTGGTTGCTTGCCCACACACCAACCACCCCACCCCAGCACCCCCCCACCCCCCGTCTCGTGTGACGTTGTCGTCTTTAAATTAATATTTAAAAGCGCTGAAACGCCACAAGCTGCGCGTGGCTTGACAATGGCGCCCTCTCGTGGCTGCGCCCGCGTGGCGATGGCGCTTTATTGAAACATTTAAAGACAAGGACCCCCCCCCTCCACCCCTCGCCGGGACCGCCTTTGTCTCATCGCCACTTTGTCAGTGGTGATGTTCACACATCGCACCAGGTACTCATCAGCAGGGGGGAGGGGGGGGGAGACCCAGGATCGGTTCAGATAATCGCCGCTGATGTTGACCATGAGCGGGAATCGAACTCGGGGCGCGGGTAGAGAAGCGCAGCGCTACCCCCCCCATCATCATCACACACTCATCCACAAAGACAAAGGTCCCCCGTATAGCCTGCACAGACTGTTGGGGCAACTGCTGTTAAGAGAGTAGCGGCACTGTGGCACACGAGGTCGGTGGTGGTGTTGCCAGCGCTACGCCCGGCCGCCTTTGTCTCCCCACTGCTGCTATACACACACAAAGACCTCTCCGTGTAGTCTATGGCGTGCGCGCGTGTAAACAACGCCACCAGGGAGACAAAGGCGGCCGGGAGTGGTGCCGACGCCCGCCCCCCCCCCCCCCCCTCATCGTGTGCCGTGCCGGCCTCCATTAGGTGCTGCTCGCCAGCAGCACTTGACCCGACAGTCTGTGAAGGCTACACGGGTGATCTTTGTGTTTGTGTGTTGGTGCTCGGACCGTTAGCGAGCTCCGATTAGTATCGGGCGCCACGGTGGCTAGGAGATGTTAACTACCTCGCCTGGCATACAGGAGGGCGTGGGTTCGATACAGACCCTGACGCCTGCTGCTGTAGATTTGGAGTCTGCGTCTCTCATCATCATCATCACGGTGGCTAGGAGATGTTAACTACCTCGCCTGGCATACAGGAGGGCGTGGGTTCGATACAGACCCTGACGCCTGCTGCTGTAGATTTGGAGTCTGCGTCTCTCATCATCATCATCACGGTGGCTAGGAGATGTTAACTACCTCGCCTGGCATACAGGAGGGCGTGGGTTCGATACAGACCCTGACGCATGCTGCTGTATATTTGGAGTTTGCGGTGTCTCTCTCCGCCGTGGTGGATTTTTCTCCGGGTCCTCCGATTTTCCCCCCTTCCACATTTCGAATCGCACTCCGCGCGGTTTCACGGTGTCTGGCTGCTGTGCTATGAATGTCCACACGACGCCGATTATGATGACGAGAAGCCACTCCGTTGAGCCATCACGCGATATCCAGGGTCGCTTCTGAGAACAATGAGCCACATTGCTCAGGTGGGGGCCTTACCTGGTAAAATAAATAACCAAAAAAATGTATCGGTATGATAATTGGTTTTTTACCCTTATATCTGGCAACAAAACTGACACCTTTTTACAAGGAGTCATGTTTGCATAGACCGCAATACCTGCAGTCATAATACAAACAAAAGAACATAACTCTGATAATGTGCACTGTCCTTGAAGTTGATTGGTCCACACCCGAGACAGCTTTCCTTAGAGCCTAGTCTCATATGGGTTGGACCAGATGACGCCAAAAGACGCACGAGTGCGCCTTTTGGCGTCAACTTCAAGGACAGTGCACATTATCAGAGTTATGTCTTTTGTTTGTATTATGACTGCAGGTATTGCGGTCTATGCAAACATGACTCCTTGTAAAATTGTAAAAAGGTGTCAGTTGTTGCCAAATAGAAGGGTAAAAAAACCAATTATCATATTTTTACTGGCAAATGAGGTTCCCATAGAATGTATCGGTAGTTTTAACATCGCCAGCACCAACGCCCGCCCGACCGCCCGCCTTTGTCTCCCCAGTCCCGTGTCAATGTAAACGTCGGACACGTGCGTTCTGAATAAATACGTGTCGACTTTTATTTCCGAAACAGTGCGGAGATTTTGGGGAGAGGGGAGGGAGAGGAAGTAATTACATTGGAAGGGTTGCCCAACCGCACACAATCGACAAATTTAGTTGATAGATCAACACCGACGTAAAAATATTCGCGGATATGAGTTCCCTCCCCCCACAGCCCACCCCCACCGCCCCTCACCGCCCCCCCCCCACCGCCCCCCCACCGCCGCCGTGACTCCAACCCGCCCGTCGCATTCATATCGATTTGTCTTTCTGCCATTTCGCCGTTTCTGCAGTTCGCTCGACGACTCCACACGGAGGTTCCCTGCCGCGATGGCGTGAACCCACGTGGTCAGTCGTGGCGAGGTCGGCGATGGGAGGGAGCGCGAGGGAGAGCGTGCAAGGTGCGTTAGGCGATGGGACACGCCAGGATCCAGGAAGATTTCACAGCCTTTACAGGTTTCATCGATTCAACAGGTTTACACATTCATTCACGTTTCCCATATTTCACACATTTTTCAGATTTTCCAGGTATCCCAGGCTTCCCATACTTCCCAGGAATTCCATAAATATTCTTCAGGTTTCCCAAGATTTCACCAGATTTCCCAGATTTCCCAGATTTCCCAAGATATCAACTACACAGAGACAGTGGGTAATAGAGCTGGGGGAGATAAAAGCATTGCGGGGGTGGTGGTGTGGGTGGGGACACAAGTTGCACACCCATCGCCCCCATCACCCCATCGGCCCGATCACCCTCTCACCATCACCCCATCGGCACCATCGGCCCAATCATCCCCATCACCTTCACCGCGTGCCCACCCACCCCCCTACCCCCCACCCCCGTACCCCCCACCCACTACCACCACCGCCCCCTTTCACCGACACGTGCATCCGAGCGCCGTCATGCCGTCGTACAGCTTGTACGCGATGCTGCCGCCAGGCTCTTGCACGAGGACGCTGACGGCGCCGTAGTGCGAGGGCACGCACGAGGCCTTGCCCGCGCCTAGCCCGGGCCGGGCCTCCTCCACGATGGTGCACACGATGGCGTGGTTGGGCGCGCCCAGGGCGTGCAGGAGGCCGCGCGCACACTCGCCGCGGCAGAAGCCCGCTTCGTAGCGGTGCGGCGCGATGATCCACCGGTCCCAGCCCAGGTCGCCAAAGTTCACCGACAGGTTGTGGAGGCGGCAGCCGTGGCGGTAGGTGGCCGAGTAGCCGCGCGCAGACAGCCACTGCTGCCGCTGCTGCTGCCGCTGCTGCTGCTTTTGGGGTGACGGTGCCAGGGAGGATGAGGAGGACGAGGTGGACGAGGTGGAGGAGGTTTGACGCCCATTTGGGGTCTCGTGCGGATTGACCCCCTTGGGCAGCGAGCGCACCACCCTGCGCCTCGCTCTCGAGCCGTCGGCCCCGGGGGCGCTCCGCGGCGTCCCGGAGGGGCACGGGGCCCACCAGAGGCCCTTGCTGCATGCCCAGGGCCCGCTTCGGTAGCTCGGCTTCAAGGCGGTGGCGGTGTCCGTCACCGTCGCGATCTTCCTCCTCCGCTTCTTCTCCTCGTTAAACATCGACGACTTCAGCTTCTTCTGCTTCTTCCACCACAGGGTGTCAACACTTTGCCCAACCCGGCTCCCCGCGAGACGCCAGGCGGGGTGGTGGTCGTGGTGGTCGTGGTGGTCCCCTTCCAGGGACCCCGGGATATCCCCGAGGAACCCCGGCGAGGGGAGCTCCAACTCCTCAGACTTTTCCTCTCCTGCCGGAGGCGGCGCCGCTGCCGCCACCCCCAGGAGGTCGTTCGAGTATATGAGGAGAAACGGCGGCACGGGAGCACGACGTGGGACGGGCGCGCAGCTCCAAGCCACGCGGAGCGCCGGCAGCGGGGAGGAGGAGGTGGTGGTGGGAGACGAAGAGCCAGGGTGGTTCAAGAGGCGCGACACGGGCCCCGTGACGTCCACCTCGAACCACTCGCCCAGCGACACCCTCGCGGGAGCCTCCAGCTCGTGGTCTGAGACGAGGTCCCCGTTGGAGAGTGGAGTGGCCTCGGCGTTGAGTTTCGGTGGAACGTCTGGGTTGGAGTCCGGAGTCGGATTTGCGGTGAGGTTCTGTGCAAGATCTGGGTTGGAGTCCAGGTCAGGTTTGGGTTTCGGTTGAGGGTTCCGGCTGGGGTCTGCACTGGGCCTTGGCATCATCTCTCGGTTTGGGTTTAAGTTCGGGTCCAGGCTGGGGTCACCGCCGCTGGCCTCTGGGTCTTCCGCGGGCTCCGCAGCTCCGTGGTCCGCTCCGACGAAATTCCCCGGCAACATCTGAAAGCACGGAAGGGCAAACCGCCAGGGGTGGTCCAAGTGAGGGCCGTCTCGTCAGTGGCCCGGTTTCACCTCCACCAATCACGGCTGGTGAACAGTTACAGATGTTTACACTGGTAGGAACCACCTGGTTACACCAGCCCACAGGGGATTATTGTGTCCGTCCGTCCGTCCGTCGTGCATCCAAAAATGGGAGGGGTCGGGCTGGGTGGAGAGGGGAGGGTGGGCAGGGGCTGGGTGGGGAGGGGCTGGTCACCCCGTGGTGCCCTTATAAAACTCAACGTTTAACCAACTCACGCCGGCTTGTGCCCGCTCTCACAGTCGGCCATATTTGCGGAATACACCACGCCGCCGTTGACCCTAGCCATTGACCGAGCAACCCAACGTTCCTAGCAGCTCCCTCCGCAGGAATGTTTTCGGTAAGGACCCCCCCCCCCCCCCCCATCTGTCAGATGTGGGTCATAGATGCTGGATGACGATTGGCCCATTCCACTCATGAGGCAGCTCTTCCCTCCCCTGATCCCATCTGCGTCACTGCTGCTGCTGCTCCCTCCCCTGATCCCATCTGCTTCCACCTCTTCGTCCGTGTCTTCTAGCACAGGGTAAAGAAGTTGCTACGGTGGTAACGGTAAAGCGCGATAACGGGGTAACAGAACTGGAGTGTATCCTCAAAGCGCCAATCCTCTCTGTCTGACAGTGTCCAATCACAGAGCAGTGACGTAGGGTAACATGTGGGGGACTTTGTTAGTAACGAGGTAACACGTGGAGTCACGTGGTAACGTGTTCGTAGTGGGGTTAACACGTGGGGTAACACGTGGGGTAACACGTGGTAACGTGTTCGTAGCGGGGTTACACACGCGTGAAGGAAAGCAGACGTAACACGCATGAGGGTTACGTGCTAACATGGGGGTAAAACGCGCATTAGTGGGGGAGGTCACGTGGAAAGGCATGTGGGGGTAGCACGTCTGTTAGTGAGGGAGGTCACGTGGTGAGGCATGTGGGGGTAGCACGTCTGTTAGCGAGGGAGGTCACGTGGTGAGGCATGTGGGGGTAGCACGTCTGTTAGCGAGGGAGGTCACGTGGTGAGGCATGTGGGGGTAGCACGTCTGTTAGCGAGGGAGGTCACGTGGTGAGGCATGTGGGGGTAGCACGTCTGTTAGTGAGGGAGGTCACGTGGTGAGGCATGTGGGGGTAGCACGTCTGTTAGCGAGGGAGGTCACGTGGTGAGGCATGTGGGGGTAGCACGTCTGTTAGTGGGGGAGGTCACGTGGTGAGGCATGTGGGGGCAGCACGTCTGTTAGTGGGGGAGGTCACGTGGTGAGGCATGTGGGGGTAGCACGTCTGTTAGTGGGGGAGGTCACGTGGTGAGGCATGTGGGGGCAGCACGTCTGTTAGTGGGGGAGGTCACGTGGTGAGGCATGTGGGGGCAGCACGTGTGTTAGTGGGGGAGGTCACGTGGCGAGGCATGTGGGGGTAGCACGTGTGTTAGTGGGGGAGGTCACGTGGCGAGGCATGTGTGGGGGTAGCACGTCTGTTAGCGAGGGAGGTCACGTGGTGAGGCATGTGGGGGTAGCACGTCTGTTAGCGAGGGAGGTCACGTGGTGAGGCATGTGGGGGTAGCACGTCTGTTAGTGAGGGAGGTCACGTGGTGAGGCATGTGGGGGTAGCACGTCTGTTAGCGAGGGAGGTCACGTGGTGAGGCATGTGGGGGCAGCACGTCTGTTAGTGGGGGAGGTCACGTGGTGAGGCATGTGGGGGCAGCACGTCTGTTAGTGGGGGAGGTCACGTGGTGAGGCATGTGGGGGCAGCACGTCTGTTAGTGGGGGAGGTCACGTGGTGAGGCATGTGGGGGTAGCACGTCTGTTAGTGGGGGAGGTCACGTGGTGAGGCATGTGGGGGCAGCACGTCTGTTAGTGGGGGAGGTCACGTGGTGAGGCATGTGGGGGCAGCACGTGTGTTAGTGGGGGAGGTCACGTGGCGAGGCATGTGGGGGTAGCACGTGTGTTAGTGGGGGAGGTCACGTGGCGAGGCATGTGGGGGTAGTACGTGTGTTAGTGGGGGAGGTCACGTGGCGAGGCATGTGGGGGTAGCACGTGTGTTAGTGGGGGAGGTCACGTGGCGAGGCATGTGGGGGTAGCACGTCTGTTAGTGGGGGAGGTCACGTGGTGAGGCATGTGGGGGTAGCACGTCTGTTAGTGGGGGAGGTCACGTGGTGAGGCATGTGGGGGCAGCACGTCTGTTAGTGGGGGAGGTTACGTGGTGAGGCATGTGGGGGTAGCACGTCTGTTAGTGGGGGAGGTCACGTGGTGAGGCATGTGGGGGTAGCACGTCTGTTAGTGGGGGAGGTCACGTGGTGAGGCATGTGGGGGCAGCACGTCTGTTAGTGGGGGAGGTCACGTGGTGAGGCATGTGGGGGTAGCACGTCTGTTAGTGGGGGAGGTCACGTGGTGAGGCATGTGGGGGTAGCACGTCTGTTAGTGGGGGAGGTCACGTGGTGAGGCATGTGGGGGTAGCACGTCTGTTAGTGGGGGGCGAGTACATGGGGGGGGGGGTAACAAGTCGGGCGGGGGGGTAACCGTGTGTTAGTGAGGGGGGGGGCGCAACAAGTGAGGTAACACATGGGGGTTAACACCTGGGGGGGGTAACGCGTGTGGTGGGTGGGGGGGGGTGGGGGAGGTGACGTGGTAACGTGGCGGTTACCCGCAGGGAGCACGCGGAGCGGCCGTGGGCGTCCCCAGGGTACACGAGGGCAGCGCGCAGGACCAGCTCCCCACGCGGCACCGCACGCAGGTCAAAGGTCACCACCTCGGCTACGCACCCGGGTCAAAGGGTCAAAGGGTCAAAAGGGCATCGGGTCAATAGGGCATCGGGTCAATATGGCAAGGGATCAAGGGGTTGAACTATCGCACAGGGTTGTACAGCGGGGCGGGTGAGTCGTGCGAGGCCGCCTTTGTATCTCGAGTGGCGATGTTGACACATCGCAGAGTACTCATTTGAGGCTGGCTTGACCTAGGGGAGGCCCCAGTCCGGTTCAGATTATTGTTACTGGTGTTGGCCATGAGTCGGAATCGAACTCGGGTCCCTGCGTTCACACCCACCCTCACCCACACACATTCACACCCACCCTCACCCACACACATTCACACCCACCCTCACCCACACACATTCACACCCACCCTCACCCACACACATTCACACCCACCCTCACCCACACACATTCACACCCACCCTCACCCACACACATTCACACCCACCCTCACCCACACACATTCACACCCACCATCACCCACACACATTCACACCCACCATCACCCACAGACATTCACACCCACCATCACCCACACACATTCACACCCACCATCACCCACACACATTCACACCCACCCTCACCCACACACATTCACACCCACACCACACTCACACCCACACACATTCACACCCACACACACACCCACACACACCCACACCCACCCTCACCCACACACATTCACACCCACACACATTCACACCCACCCTCACCCACACACATTCACCCACACACATTCACACCCACACACACCCACACCCACCCTCACCCACACACATTCACACCCACACACATCCACCCTCACCCACACACATTCACACCCACACACACACCCACACACACCCACACACACACACACCCACACCCACCCTCACCCACACACACACACCCACACCCACCCTCACCCACACACACCCACCCTCACCCACACACATTCACACCCACACACACCCACCCTCACCCACACACATTCACACCCACACACACCCACACCCACCCTCACCCACACACATTCACACCCACACACACCCACACCCACCCACACCCACACCCACCCACACACACATTCACACCCACCCTCACCCACACACTTCACACCCACCCTCACCCACACACCCACACCCACCCTCACCCACACACCCACCCACCCTCACCTCATTTCTCACCCACCCACCCCCCTCATTTCTCACCCACCCACCCACCTCATTTCTCACCCACCCACCCACCTCATTTCTCACCCACCCACCCACCTCATTTCTCACCCACCCCACCCACCTCATTTCTCACCCACCCACCCACCCACCTCATTTCTCACCCACCACCCACCCACCCACCTCATTTCTCACCCACCCACCCACCCACCTCATTTCTCACCCACCCACCCACCTCATTTCTCACCCACCCACCCACCCACCTCATTTCTCACCCACCCACCCACCCCACCTCATTTCTCACCCACCCACCCACCCACCTCATTTCTCACCCACCCACCCACCCACCATCATTTCTCACCCACCCACCCACCCACCTCATTTCTCACCCACCCACCCACCCACCTCATTTCTCACCCACCCACCCACCCACCTCATTTCTCACCCACCCACCCACCCACCTCATTTCTCACCCACCCACCCCACCTCATTTCTCCCCACCCCTCATTTCTCCCCACCCACCTCATTCTCACCCACCCACCCCATCTCTCACCCACCCACCCACCTCATCATCCACCCACCCACCTCATCTCTCACCCACCCACCCCATTTCTCACCCACCCACCTCATTTCTCACCCACCCACCTCATTTCTCACCCACCCACCTCATTTCTCACCCACCCACCTCATTTCTCACCCACCTCATCTCTCACCCACCCACCTCATTTCTCACCCACCCACCCTCCTCATCTCTCACCCACCCACCCACCCTCCTCATCTCTCACCCCACCCACCCACCTCATCTCTCACCTGTGGCCGCGGGGTCCCCCGGGGCTCGGCCGAGCCGGGCGGGCGGGATGAGTCTCGCGGTGTTGCTGGGGATGGCGCTGGGACCGCCCCGCGGCCTCCCGTCCTCGTCCGCCTCCCGCCGGTACAGCGCGCGCATGTAGCGCACGTGGTGGCGGTGGTGGTGGTTGTTGTTGTTGTGGTGGTGGGAGTCGCCGGGGACTCGCGACCCACGCGTCCCGGTGGAAACTCCACCACCACCAACTCCACCACCACCACCAACTCCACCGGCAACGGCGCTGTGGTCCAAAATGTGGCGGAGAAACGGCGGCGGAAATCGGTGGAGAGAGACAAAGGCGGCTGCGGCGGTGGCTGGAACACCCTCAGCTGCTGCAGCTGCTGCTGCTGCTGCTGCCCCCGTTGCGCCGTTCTCTCCACCGGCGGATTTGTGCGGATCGTCGCAGGCGGCGAGACCGAGAAAGCATGCGAGACAGAGGCCGACTGGGAATATCAACAATCCCCGACACATCATCATCACCACCTTCATCTTCGACGAATTCGTTTTCTCCTTCTTCCCGCTGTGCGCTCTCTCGCCTCCTGAACGAGACCCGCCAGGACTGGGTCGGACCCGGGCGTAGCTATTTAAACCTCATCACGTGGATTGCTAATTGGCTTGGGGGGGGGGATGAGGTGGGGGCTGGGGATGAGGTGTGTGGGAGGGGCGACCAGGCGTGGCTAACAGGTATAGGGCGGGTGGGAGGGATGAGGTGGAGGGGGGTGGAGGGGGGTGGAGGTGGGGGTGGAGGGGGGGGTGGAGGCGTGGCTAACAGGTATAGGGCGGGTGGGAGGGATGAGGTGGAGGGGGGAGGGTGGAGGCGTGGCTAACAGGTGTAAATCAGTGACCGTCATTGGTGCAGGGGGGGGGGAACTCCCAAAAGGTGTCGTGTGAAGAGCAAACCACTCCCTGTGTGTAGCATTGACATGAAATGTGTTTGATAGGTGACGTTTCGGGTAATTGTCCTTCTTCAGAGCTCATAATTAAGAAAGGGCGAGCAAGAGAGACAGAGTGGGTGATAAGAGTTGGAGACTGCCCTTCACACAATTGAACAACCACGCCTAGCATGGTCGATCTACTGCTGGATGAGGCCTATGGCCTCTAATCCACGTGTTCCTCTCTCTGCCTCTGAGTCTCATTCTAAGCGCGCATCTTCTCCACACCGATTGGCGCCCCGCTCAGTGCGTCTCGTCCACAGGGCGTGTTCACGACCGCGCGTTGTTCATCTCCCCCTACAATCTACAACTACAGGCTGTCTGACAATGAATATACCCCAGACATGAAGTTGATTAGTGGTATCGTTACTCATCGGTTATTTCGGTAAAGTCATACCTACGTGACTTTACCAAAAGAGTCAAAGAGTATGGATTCCTGCAGTCATGAAAGCTTCAAATCAAGACTGTTATCGTCGTTTTTATTCCAGATTCTGACATCAGTTGGAAATGAAATGTAACGCATCACACGAGGGGTCGCGACAACCAGCGCCTCCAGAGCTGCATGAGTCTCTTTGGCTGCCCCCATGAGGCTCTTTGGCTGCCCCCATGAGTCTCTTTGACTGCCCCCATGAGGCTCTTTGGCTGCCCCCATGAGTCTCTTTCGCTGCCCCCATGAGTCTCTTTGGCTGCCCCAATGAGGCTCTTTGGCTGCCCCCATGAGGCTCTTTGGCTGCTCCCATGAGTCTCTTTGGTTGCCCCCATGAGTCTCTTTAGCTGCCCCCATGAGTCTCTTTGACTGCCCCCCATGAGACTCTTTCGCTGCCCCCATGAGTCTCTTTGGCTGCCCCAATGAGGCTTTTTGGCTGCCCCCATGAGTCTCTTTAGCTGCTCCCATGAGGCTCTTTGACTGCCCCCATGAGTCTCTTTGGCTGCCCCCATGAGTCTCTTTGACTGCCCCCATGAGGCTCTTTGACTGCCCGCATGAGTCTCTTTGGCTGCCCCCATGAGTCTCTTTGGCTGCCCCCATGAGTCTCTTTGGCTACCCCCATGAGCCTTTTTGGCTGCCCCCATGAGACTCTTTGGCTGCCCCCATGAGACTCATTGGCTGCCCCCATGAGGCTCTTTGGCTACCCCCATGAGACTCTTTGGTTGCCCCCATGAGGCTGTTTGGCTGCCCCCATGAGTCTCTTTGGCTGCCCCCATGAGACTCTTTGGCTGCTCCCATGAGGCTCTTTGGCTGCCCCCATGAGACTCTTTGGCTGCTCCCATGAGGCTCTTTCACTGCCCCCATGATGCTCTTTAGCTGCCCCCATGAGTCTCTTTCGCTGCCTCCATGAGGCTATTTGGCTACTCCCGACTTAATATCATGAGATTGTGTTGCTTATCTCCGTGGTTTAAAAAAACAACGTAAAGTCTTACACGAGCACACCAAGGGGACCTTGAAGAACTTAAACATCGTATAATGTTATCCCGCTATGCCATCATCCATCTATAGTGAGTTCAACTGAGTCGCAGATGCACTTCTTGGAGGCAACACATTTATTAAAAACAACACACTGGGTACTACCCCTTAACACATTAACAACCTATGGCAGTGGACCACCAGGCTATCTACACTAATTATACCGGAATTAGCTACGACGGACCCTGGCCCAGGTCCACGTGTTGGTGACTCTTGTAGGACGTAGAACGTAGATTCTTCAGGATGAACAACAGCAGCCGGTCCCAATCAGGGACCCGGCTTATAACCTCTGTGGCGGGGCTGGCTCCGCCCTTGGCCACGACCACCTTCTAGAATCCCCTAGCAGGATCTTGACTCTGACACGTGATCACCCCGAGCCCCCACCTGGGGCCCCTGTGTAGACTTTACCGGTCACGTGTCCTTCGGGGTCAACCAGAGTGCCATGGACCTTAGTAATCCCATTCCCATGGCTGGCACTCCCACACCCCATCCTGTAGGGGTCGGCACTGCACGCAGAGCGTGGTGCCACTGAGCACTGTCGGACAGCGCTCACCGAGCCCCTCTAGGGCCGGCACTGCACCCACATACACGTGGTGCCCGCGATGGCAATACATCGCACGCCGTGCCTCTCTCGAGCCGGCATGACACAGTAACACAGCGAATAAGTGAGTACAAAGTGAGTAAAACCCTCATGTGTGCCTCAACAATAGCAATAAACAAATAAATACCCAAGCCCACCTATACAAATAGACATGCACTATCTGCAAATGTAAAGTAACAAACGGGAGAATTGGTGGAAGTACAGAACAACAACACGAAAGAGAAAAAATTAACCCGTAAAAACAAAGTTTTTCACTATGAATCCTTTATATGCGTGGCATCGGTTTTATTTTATTATTCATTTCTGTTTTTCTTGAGTAAGAGTTTCATTTTTATCACATTGGTATTTTAAATAAAATATGAAAAAAAATGTCCTAAAAAGTGGAAAATGTTGGGAAAAAAATTTCACGAAAATAAATTGTCACGCACAACGAGTCTGTGTGCAAAATGTCAGCTCGATTGGATCACGGGAAGTGGGTTAAAAAACGACCGAAAGATTTGCACGGTCGTTAGCGCGCAAGCAAGCAAGCAAGTGAACTTAATATAAAGGATTTTTAAAAAATTAACCCGTAAAAACGTTTTTCACTCTAAATCCTTTATATGCGTGGCGGCTAGAGTCCTCTCGTCCTCTGGCTTGAGATGGCTGCCACCTATGGGTCAGATGATTGTCTGCCAGCATTAAGCAATTGGTAATTAAATATTTTAAAAAAATTCCCTCAACAGTGTAAAATTTTGGAAAAAAATTTTCACGAAAATTAATTGTCACGCACAACGAGTCTGTGTGGAAAATGTCAGCTCGATTGGATCACGGGAAGTGGGGTAAAAAACGACAGAAAGATTTGCACGGTCGTAAGCAAGCAAGCAAGCACGCACGCAAGCACGCAAGCGAACTTAATATAAAGGACTTAAAAATGCAGTAAAACGCGAACGCTCGGAATCCCCTCCATCACCAACCTCTCCCACCCTCACCGTGTGACAACACCCGTAAACACAACGAAGGCCAGGATCAGCCAATAACTGATACGGCTTGCCGAGTGCGACAGAGATCTGATGGTGTGGGAGCGTGTGTGTGTATGGGGATGACGAAAACCGAAGAGTCTTTGATCGAGTCCGTGTGGCCGGGCCCCCAGGGGAGGTGGGCTCGCTCTCCCTGGAGGTCCCGGGGGGAATGTTCAAGTTCAAGTTCATTTATTAGGTATAGCCCTGTGAGCCATTCGGCTCTTGAATCGGGTGCAACCGCAACAAACAAAAAACAAAAACATGAACAAGAAAACATCTTAAAGTGAAAATCCAAGAAAATACAGCAAAATATTGCATAAAAATCACCGTATACCAATGCTCTGTGCAAAAATATCAGTGGGATGCAAGTCAAACAACAACAACAACCACAAGACAACTTAGATTAAGGCCATCAGTCTTACTCCGTACTACAACAAACAAACATGGCCGAACCAAAAAACGTTATTTTTGTGCAAATGTCCCGTCGAACCCGGCTCCTCACGAAGAGATGTTGGCCGGGTGGACGGGTTCTCCTCTCCCGAATCCAGTGGCGATGGTGCAGGTGGTGGCTCGGGGGACGTTAGACGTGCGGCATCGGAGGACGGGACCACACGACTCCGTTGAGGACCAACCTCAGCGGGAACACACCTCAGATCGCCGGTCACATCTGACACTCGGCCCTAGCGGTGTGGAGATGGAACGAACTCAAGCGGAGCGATGAAAGGCTTGAGGCGTGACGGATGTACAAACCAACTCCTACTATGGTCGAACGACCCGAATCACATCAACCGGCTCCCTCCAGGGTTTCAACAATTTGGGTGACGTTCCCACCGGTACCTGTGGATAGTGCAACCAGCCCAGAGGTCGCAACCGGGTACCCGATACCCGTACCCTACCCGATACCTGGCTATCCGTACCCGGCCGGGTACGGGTACCCGTTTGCGACCCTGGTGCGGTCGGGTACGGGTAGGCCGTGAGTCACCGGTGAGTAGCCGTTTGTCACTCATTTCGGGTAGGGTAGGGGTACGGATAGCGTACGGGTACCCATACCCGGCCGGGTACGGGTACGGGTAAGGAATCAAAACCCGTTTGCGACCTCTGAACCAGCCTCTGAACCAGCCTCTGTGCGGAAGTACGGGAACCACTCAGCCGCTCATTTGCCAATTGGCCCGAATTGTAAATTTCCCTGGAAGCCTTGTTTGGCGTGGCTCGCAATTGGACATCAATCAGGGGGTTGTGTTCTCTCCCGTACATTAAAAAAGGTGAGTAGCCAGTGGATGCGTGAGGAGCCATCCTATATGCAGCCAGCACTCCGGGAATATGCAAATCCGAGTCAAGTTGGGACTCGCTGACCTGATGACTCAACATCGATGTCAGAGTCCTGTGCGGCCGCTCAACCATGCCATCCGTCTACTTGTGGTATGGTGTGTGGCGTAGTGCGTGAAGCCTCCTCCGTGGGCTGGAGAGAGTGTGGTCAAACCGATGGGGAAACGGGTTTTGGTGGAGAACACGCCAACCAGGTCTTGGAAAACGTCGGCTATTTATAGACGGACCTATCACGGGATTGGCCCAGGGACCGAACAATAGGCTGCGCAGCCCTATAAAAGGAGTGCCCGAATCGGCAGTGGGGGCGCAACTCAGAAGCAACAGCAGCGGCGGCGGCGGCAGCAGCAGCAGGAGTGGCTGGGCGAGCTCCCACCCTCAAGGAGCGACATGAGTGAGGACCAGGGATCGTCACTAAGTAGGAGCTGAGTGCTGTCTCCAACTCTACAGAATAGATATCGTACAGGGAAACATTAAGTGACGGTATTATTATTGTTATATGTTTCCAGCGGCCGACCTGGGGAGGGAACCAGGGCCGGTGGGATGTCTGGGACCACAAGAAACATGCCAGCAGCGTCAGGAGCAGGGAAGCAAGCGAGCTGCAGCCTGGCACTGGCCGAGAGCGAAGTCGGTTGCCATCGGGTTACCGGGTTGGCTGCTGGGCTGCCCACGGACATCTCCCACTGTCCGAGGACGGTAACTCTGGGAAGCAGAGTTGCATAGGGGAGGTGGAAATCCTGGAAGAGGGGTACTCTGTGAAGCAGAGTTGTGTAGGGGAGGTGGACGACCCTCCCTTCCCCCCCAAAAGCTTCTGTGTGTGTCTCGGGGAAGCGGTAGGAACCGTAGGTGTGAGTGGATGTGTGTGGGTGATCTTGTAATGATTCTTATTCGGTTGATGTTCTTAGTGGTAGCCTGCTCAACGGCTGTAACTCCTCTGCCTGGCGTGGTCGGTGTCAGCTCGGGGTAATAAAAAGCTGACATGCCTAACACCCAGGACGCTGAGTGGTCGAACACCAGCGCAACTCGATACACCCCAACCATCAGCCCTCCTGATTAGGCAACGTGACATGGTGATGTGCGTACTTTCTTCGTTCCCAACAAATCGCACACCTCGCGCAGCAATTTCGAAGAAAAATGTTTTGCCCTGATCGGTCAGAAGACGTTCAGGAGCACCCTTGTCCATGACGTAGTCATTGAGGAATGCCTCCATGATCGTCGCCGCCGACTGGTTGGGAAGAGGCCAGGCCACCGGCCATCGTGAAAAGTACTCGACTCCCACCAGCAAATATTTATTCCCACACGGGGTAGTGGGAAATGGACCAAGAATGTCCAAAGCAACCAGTTAATTTATGCGGAGTTAATTTATGGTGGCCAACGGTTTCGCCGGCGGTTTCCGCCGCGTGCACTGTACACAACCTTTCAACAAATTAGCGACATCTTCCACCATGCCACACCAGAAGAAGTCCAGCTTAAGTGTGGCCAACGTCTTATGCACACCCAGGTGCAACAGTCACTCGTGTACCGCCCAAATGACCTTACCCCGCAGGGCAGTGGGCACAAGAATGTTATAACGGTGCAACCCACCGTCCCAATGCATGAGCAGTCTACTCTGAGAATAACAGAGGAAACACCCCGTCGATCCGCACCCCCATCAGCCTCCCTGACCCGGCGTCGCAATTTAAGCAGGGACGTGTCCTCAACCTGGAGGCGCCCCCATTCTTCATGGTTCAACCCAATGACGGCGTCGCGTGCCACCGGACCCTCGGCCATCTCGGAGGTTCCAACCTCGGCTGATGCCGCAAGGGGAGGGGGCGAGTGCTTGGTGGGCAGCTTACAACGCCCAGAGCCTGAAAAACACGCTCACCCATTGCTCGTTGGTAATCGCGACAGAGCATCTGCGTTCGTGCGTCGGAAGCCTTTGCGATACATAACATGAAAGGAATAGTCCTGGAGGACCTCCAACCAACGTAAAAGTTGGCCCGACTGCAGTTCAATACGCAGCGCGCACTGCAGCGCTGCATGGTCAGAGCACACCTCAAAGCGTTTACCATACAAATAGGGGCGATACTCTTACACGAAAAATACAATAGCTAGCGGTTCCCGATGTGTGACACAATACCATTGTTCGGCTGGAGATAGCACTCTGCTTCTCGACGCCATTGACAACTTAAACAGGACAGCTCCAATTCTGGTGTTACTAGCGTCTGTATCAAAGACACACGGCAAGGAAAAATCGGGGAGGAGCGTTCGCCAAGCCATTCCGGAGTGCAACAAATGCGGCCTCCTCCCCCCAATGGAATTTCTGACCCTTTGCCGTCAAGGCGTGGAGGGGTTTAGCGATGGTAGCAAACCCAGCGACAAAATGGCGGTAATAGGACGCAAATCCTATGAAACTGCGCACCTCCCCCACTTTTGTAGGGGTTGGTCAAGTACAGACACACACGGTCTTATCCGGGTCAGTCGTAATACCCGATTTACTTACTATGTGGCCAAGATACCTAACTGATTTTTGGAGAAGGTGACACTTCTGCGGTTTAAACTTCAGGTTGGCCGCACACCTCTTGAGAAAGACAGCACATAACGTCAAATGTACAGCTGAAAACGATAACATCATCGAGGTAGATCAGGCACGAGTCCCACTGGAGACCAGCCAGAACCAGTTCCATCAATCCCTGGAACGTAGCCGGCGTGAAATGAAGACCTATCGGAAGCCATTTAAATTTGAACAAGCCTTGTGGTGTATGAAAGGATGTTTTGGGCTTAGAGGCTTCATCTAGTGGCAACTGCCAAAACCCGGACAGTAGGTCAAGAGTGAAAAAGAACCGTGCTCCTGCTAGAGCATCCAGAGAGTCGTCCATCCGAAGTAGAGGGTACGTGTCAGCAACAGAGATCTTTAAAGCTTACGGAAGTCAACACAGAAGCGCAAGCTACCATCCTGCAAGTACAATTGGGGCTCCCCATTGGCTGGTGGACAGTGAAATAATATACCGCAGCTAACATTTGGTCAGCCGCCAGCCAAACGTGTTCTTTTTCCGTAAGGCTCAGCCGGTAGGGATTCTGCCGGATGGGAGCGGCGTCACCCGTATCAATGTGATGACTCAAAAGCGTAGTGCGGCCGATGTCAAATTTCCCTTTGCTAAAAACATCAGAAAATTCTCGCAAAAATGCCCTCAATTTCCCATTCTGGACCTCGGACAATTCCACATTTTCCGAACAAAGCTTATCTATCCACCCTTCATCAGAACTCTTGTGCGGCCGATTATTTGATGTGGCACCCGCACTGCCAACGATGCTTCCCTTACCAAGCGCTGGCGACGCATGAACTAGCATGGTACCTTTTTTAATGACCGACATCTTTAACCCTGCGTTAAGGACCTGAATAAAGGGTTCCTGACCATTAGATGCCAATGTCTGTGCCCCTACTAACGACATACCAAGACTGACTTTATTAGAGGGTGTCAAGAGGATGCCTCCCGCTGTCGTCTCCTGGTTTAGCAGCTTCCGCAGTCGCAAGGGGACCAACATTTGCGCGCCAGGGGGAATCTTAACCGTCCTACGTGCAAGTGCCTGCACGGTAGTGTAAGCTGTGCACAAGCGAGTGGGAGAAGGCAAAAATGCCATTCGATGGCCGGATGGTAATTCGATGCACCCTTCGTCGATCAAAATTTTCAGGGGCACCCTCCCCCAAAAGTCGGTCCCGAGTAAGCAAGGAATAACAAGGGATGTCGACACAAGAACCAGCCCCATCAACTTGACATCCGCAATGCACACCTCCACTGTTATTCTCCCATTGATGCCCAATGAGCTGCCGTTTGCAGTGAAGCACGGAGCTTCGACAGGACATGAGGTACGACATTTAGGGTGTAAGATGTTATAAATCAATTCTGAGATGATGGTCGCTGACGCACCAGTGTCAATGAGCATACTCATCTCAGCCCCCTCTATCAACCCAATAACAGCGGATGAACCTACGGTCACGGAAACCACTCTATGGACCAGCTCTGACCACTGACGCGGTCGGAGCAGCCGGTCGGCCCGATGAAAGTCCGAACCCTCCGGCACCGACACACGACCAGCACGGAACCCGAATGAACGAGATGTGTGAGGTGGAATCACAGGCCGAGTGTGTGATGTGTCACGACTCGCCTATGGGTGTAGTGAAGTGGAGGACGGTCAGACGGATGACGGCGGTGGTCCGTGGAGGCGTCGTCGTGGTACGCGGCAGCCCAACGAGATGTGTCCCAGCAGGCCGCAGCTGTAGCACACAACGAGCCCGCTCCCAGGACGAGGAGATGTCTTCCACCGTCGTTGGGCGTCCGCCTGTCGCACCATTCCGTCCCCTTGCCAGCCTCCGCCCTGGGTCGATGCGCAAGCTGGGACGGGCTCCACCTCTTCAGGTGTATCGTGCGCTTCACGAGGCGCGGTACACGCGCCAACACCTTGTGCTGTTGCAAGAGCTGTTGCACCAGATGCATCTTGCAACCTTGATAGATGATAGATCGTCATCGTCGACAGCTGGCAGGACGATGTTGAGGTCCTTAGCTAAAGCCAGCAATCTCTCGAGGACCAGCGAGTCGATTCCGTCATGGTCCATCTTTGGAAAGGAAGCCTTCGCTAGCGCCAAAAGTGCACTACGGAAGGCAAGGGGTGTCTCGGTTTCCCATCTTCTTCGCGTTGCGAACCTGCGGCGAACGTTCGACGGCAGCTCGTCCATTGCCACCGTTTGGTCAAAGGCTTGAGTCAGCGTGGCCCTCTGTGATGCCGGGATGGTGAGAAACGCCACCAGGCCGTCATCATCAAGGGCGGCGGGCAGTGCTCTCAGTGTCTCCACCCCGCTAAGTCGGCGTTCATCAGGAACCGCCCCTTGAAGGCCACCCAGTCGCCTCCGGCATCTGTAAATTATTTCACGAAAGGCAGTCATCGCCGGAGAGATGAACGTCCACAGGCGATTTCGACGCATCTTCGGATTTGGTGGGCTCTGCGCTCCGCACTTCTGACAAGATGGCGGCCTCAAGCGCGGGCTGCACCACAGAGGTTCCCGCTTGGTGGGAAATGGCGGCGGAAACTTAGTGTCCATGCGGCTCCGCTGCACCTCCGTCCACTGCTGGCTCCTCATGGTGGAGCTCTGCGATGGTGGATGCCGCAGCTTGGAAGAGCTCCAGAAGGCGGGAGTGTGCCATCCGGCGCTCCTTCCCCGATGGCAGTGAGCCCTCGCGTGCCGGGTCGGTGCGCTGCTCCGCCGACAGCACCTTGCCTCCTTCCTCCGGGGTCGCCATCCCCGGGGCTGTTAGAGGGATGAGGTCTTCATCTTCCGACTTCCTGGTTCGTAGTCTGCGTCGCGTAGCCATGATGTAAGATTTCAAATTTTACTAGAGAATGTTTGGCCACTTCCGACACTAGTTGTAGTGATATGCTTGGTTCTTTCGGTAAAGTCACATAGATAGAAAATAGAAACAAATAATAAAATAAAAATTACTAATAAAAATAATAAATTGAAAACAATAAAAGCAAAAAACCCACGACGCTTCCATCGCAAAATAAGTGGTCTACGACCCCTGCAGGATAGGGTGTGGGAGTGCCGGCCATGGGAATGGGGTGATCAAGGGCCATGGCACTCTGATTGACCCCGAAGGACACGTGACCGGTAAAGTCTACACAGGGCCCCCAGGTAGGGTCTAGGGGTGGTCACGTGTCAGGGTCGAGAACCTGCTAGAGGATTCTAGAAGGTGGCCGTGGCTAAGGGTGGAGCCAGCCACGCCACGGTGGATATAAGCCGGGTCCCCGAGCGGGACCGGCTGCTGTTGTTCATCCTGAAGAATCTACGTTCTACATCCTCCAAGAGTCACCAACACGTGGACCTGGACCTGGGCCAGGGTCCGGTACGTCGTAGCTAATTCCAGTGTAATTAGTGTAGTTAGCCTGGTGGTCCACCACCATAGGTTGTTAATGTGTGTTGGTTTTAATAAATGTGTTGCCTCCAAGAAGTGTGTCTGCGACTGAGTTGAACTCACTACAACTGAATTTTGACTTTAAACTTTCGTGACTGCAGGAATTAATATTCCTGGTTCTTTTGGTGAACTCACATAGATAGAAAATAAAAAGAAAAAAAGATATAAAAATAAAAATAATAAAATAAAATTTACAATTAAAAAATAATACATTGAAAATAATAAAAGCAAAAAACCCACGACGTTTCCATCGCAACACAAGTGGTCTTCATCAGGCGGAGAGAAAAGAGGGGGGGCAAGCCTCCAAATGTAACTGCTTATAAGGGTTTCCAAAGTGAGTGGGCTGAGGACGAGAGCTTGGAGGAGGAAAGCTGCGCTGCGCAAACAGCACGGGTGGTGCAGCCAGTCAGCCAATGGCAATGTAGGAGTAGACAATGGGGGAGGAAAGGGGGAGGGGCAGCCAGTTAGCCAATGGCAATGTAACAGTAGACAATGGGGGGAGGAAAGGGGGCGGGGCAGCCAGTCAGCCAATGGCAATGTAGGAGTAGACAATGGGGGAGGAAAGGGAGCGGGGCAGCTAGTCAGCCAATGGCAATGTAGGAGTAGACAATGGGGGGAGGAAAGGGGGTGGGGCAGCCAGTCAGCCAATGGCAATGTAGCAGTAGACAATGGGGGGAGGAAAGGGGGTAGAGATAGGGGGAGAGAGAAGGGGGGGTTAGAGATAGAAGGAGAGATGGGGGGGGCATTGCATCTCGCTACACACATCCACACTGCTGACGGTAGAGGTTGACAAGAAAACACAAATCAAGTCATGGTTGATGACATCTTTCCAATGATTCCTGAGTTTAAAACCGACTCGGTTGAAATTGTGTCTGTGTCTGTATATATGGATGGCTTCATGAATGAATCTCTGTTGATAGCCAGTCGGCTTGCAAAGTACCATCATCTTAGAGAAATCCATTTCATGTGAGCCAGCCGTATTAAAGTAATGATCAGCCACGGCAGAAGTTTTGGTCCTGCCGTGTTTCAGATCTGCCTCATGTTCACGAACACGGTCCGAGACATGTCGTTTAGTATCCCCAATTTAACTGCTGCCGCAGATACAGCTTAGTTTGTAGACGCTGGGATATTGCATGTCAGGAATTTTGTTATTCACAGATGGGATCAGATCACGAATGTTATGCACTGTGTTAAATCGGACCTGGATCTTGTGTTTGTTCAAGATTTTGGATATCTTTTTGGTTATCCCTGCTATGTAAGGCAAGGTGATGGTTTTGATTGGATCTTCAGATGGCTCCTTCCTCACGGTTGGGGTGATGGCCTTGCAGATTGTGTAGTCAGAATATCCATTCGCCTTGAGAGGCTGGTGTACGTGTAGTGACATTGCGGATGTCACTGTGTGGTGCCGGCCCTAGCGAGGCACGGCGTTCAATGTACTCACATCACGTGTGTAGCGACATCGTGAATGTCACCGTGTAATGCCGGCTCTAGCGAGGCGCCGTACGGCATGCGATGCATCGTCATCGCGGACACCCCGTAGGTGGCTGTAGTACCAGCCCTAGAGGGGGCTCGGTGAGCGCTGGGATAGCGCTCAGTGGAACCACGCGTGGCGTGCAGTGCTGACCCCTACAGGAGGGAGTGTGAGAGTGTCAGCCATGGGATGAGGTTGCCCTAGCCCATGGTACTCTGGTTGACCCTGGAAGGCACGTGACCAGTAAGATCTACACAAGGGCCCCAGGCGAGGGCCAGGGGGTGGTCACGTGTCAGGGTGCGATCCTACGGGAAGGGTCGAGAAACGACGAGAGGTTTCTCGAAGGTGGTCGTGGCCAAGGGTGGGGCCAGCCACGACCCGGGAGCAGATCAACCGGGTCCACACAGGGACCGGGGCTCAGCGTTGCTGATCTACGTTCTACGTCCAAGAAGAAGTCACCAACACGTGGACGAGGACCCAAGCCAGGGTCTTGTCCGTTGTAGCTACTCCCAGTGACTAGCGTAGTTAGCCTGGTGGTCCACCACCATAGGTTATCTGGTAAAGGGGTAGTAACCCCGTTGTGTTAATGTGTTGGTGTAAGTAAATATGTGTTGCCTCCAAGAAGTACGTCTGCAACTCAGTTGAATCCACTACATACGTGTTTCAGTTCACTGGTCAGGTGTTCATGGTCGGAGATACATTGAGCTCTATGGTGTAGCGTTTTGATGAGGGAATTCTTCTGGGATGGATGGTGGTGGGAATCAGGTTTTATGTAGGCGTCAATATGGGTTCCTGTAGACAGAGTGGCTCAATGATCCATCTGGTCTCTTTTTAATTAACACATCCAAGAAAGGTAGCATGCCATCCGTTTCCACCTCCATGGTGAATTTGATTGCTGGGTGTATGGAATTAATGTGATTGAGGAATTGTTTCAGAGCCGGTCGGTCATGTGGCCAGATGACAAACGTGTCATCCACGTATCTCTTTCACGTTGTAGCTCTTAAGGGTTTGGGACACATCGCTGCATACGTGACAATATCTGAAATCGCTGCAACCCTCAAAAGCGTTAAGATACTGGTTTCGACATTCAGTGTCTCATTAGGAGTCGGGCTTGGCTTGCTTGAACCAATAAACCAAACTATTTTGATTCTACCAGGTAAGGCCCACTGAGCGATCCAGCTCTTTTCAGAAGCGAACTGGCCACAAATGATAGCTGAACGGAGTGGCGTATCACGTGGAAATGTATGGCAGTATGCCAAATACTCTAAACGCGTGATGTTGATTGTAAATGTGGAGGGGAAAAACCGGAGAACTCGGAGTAAAAACCCACGCGACCACGGGGAGAGAGACACACAGACTCACCTTGAATCTCACTCACCCACTCATTTCCTTGATCGCTCACTCACTCATTCACTCACCTTATATATTCTTCACGCACACACCCACTCATTTCCCCACTCACTTATTGACTCCTGGGGAGAGAGACACGCAAACTCCAAATATACAGCAGCAAGCGTCAGGGTCGGTATCGAACCCGTGACCTCCTGCATACCAGACGAGGCAGTTAACATCTGCTAGCCACCGTGACATCGCCAGCTGTCCATAGGCAAGGACTGGTTTCGACATTCGGTGGCTCATCAGCAGATTGCGCGCAACTCGAGTTCATGAAAAGTTGACGGCAGGAAGGCCCCGAGCAAGAACCCCCCCACCGCCCCGAGGAAGAACCCAAGGGTCGGATAAGTTCGGACCGGATGTTTTTCATTTCCGCTCATTCATGATCAGAACAAAGGGGGACATCACGTGGTGCGTAGACACCGGCGTGGGGTGGAGGTTTGAGGGGACATGAGGTCAGCACAAACCCCCCCCCCACCCCCTCACCCCCCGCTGCCCCCCACGATCATAAAGTCCATAACAAAAACCTCAACACGTTTAGCCGCGTCAATAACACGGCGTGTGTGTGGCCGTGTGTGGCCTTAAAAGCAAATGTTTCTCGTAGACGACGTTTCGGGCTACGGCCCCTCTTCGCAGCGCGTACACGGAGAAGCCAGTAGTGAGA